TTGAGTTCTAGGATTTTTTTGTAGTGTGTATATATATATATATATATATATATATATATATATATAATAGTTTCATGTTTGAAGAAATGCAAAGTAAGATGGAGGACAATACCGATGATTTTCCTGCAAGGCATGGAGTTCTTGCCTTAGAACCGCAGCCTCTCTCTGCCAAAACTATATATGGAGCAAAAGACTCGTCAAATCAATCTCGTACTAAATTCTAGTTTGAAAAGAAAATTAAGGATAAGCTTATGAAGTACGGCCATATATGTATACACATGTCCACGCTTTCATACTTAATTATAACTTGATGCAGATCTACGCAGGTTCTTGATTCGTCCGTATAACACATGCATGCACATGCTTATGGTTTATGATACATATATACTAATGCAAATCCAAGGATTCATATTATAGTACAATGCATCAATACAGTACATATATACGCGTGTGTGTATGTGTGTACTTTGACTTCGGATGCAGGGTTCAACAGCTGTTGCTGCTGCTCCATCTTGGTCTTGTTGTATCGTTCAATGGTTGACTTCATGCTGCTCCAAGGTAAAATTAAAATTTTTTACGTATTGATGAACAAGAAACTTGTAGGATATATATATATATAAATTGATAGTGTTGTATCCCTGAAGCATGTATTATATAACAAAAAAAAACAAATAGAAAAATCCACTTTCGATCCATATGAAATCTAAATGAAGTCATACCGCCCTAAATAGATTATGGGATATAATAATAATAATAATAATAATAATTGTTATTAAGCAGCAAAATTGCTAAACAAATTACCCCCAAAAGAAACTTCAATATAGCTTAAACTTCTAGACTTCAATGGACGCTTAGTAGTTAAAACTATCATTATTAATATGTTCAAAAAATAAAAAAATATAATGCTAAAGGTGAAACTCATTGTTCACTGGACCTTCGACCAAACTATACTTTAAAAAGGATCGGAAAATCCATGTGAATAGATCTCCTAAGTGAATGCTCGAACCTAGATTAGGAATGAGTTTTGCTCCCTTCTTCACTAGTTGAGTCATCTAATCTTGGGTTTGAATGGTGAATTTGCTTTCTAGTTGAATTAATTATTCGGCAAAGACGATGAAACCATAAACCAATGTGAGAACATTGTAAACAGATGCATGGATCAACCCTAAAACCAAACACAACCACTTGTAGATTAACTTTGTCCGATTTTTGTGACTGATAATAGATACGTTATTCGGTGGTAATAGTTTGTTATCAAAATATAGAGTGTCGATTAATCTGTTTAATATAAATTTTTTTTATAGAAACATATATCTAGAATGAAGAGTATTTTTAAGTAATAAATGTATCATATACTTTGCAATAGATTAACACCTTTCCTAATTAATTAAGAACACTGGTTTTGGGCAAACAAAATCAATCAATGGCTTGAGTATTTATTCCCCTCGTTACTTATATCTTAGGCGCTATCCATTCATGTTGGAGAATATCTTACACGCTCCTTATGCTTGCAAGATATATATTTCTTTGGGCAAAGACATTATTAACCGCTGCACCTTAACAAGAACGCTTATAAATATACACACACATTTATATTTTCAGACACTCTTCAAAGCTCTCCAACTCTTCACCATTTTCAAAAAGGACTTGAAAAGATCAACAGAAAAATGTCTCTCGATCGGCTATACATACACCACTATTGTATATATATATACAATTATATATATACCGAAATGAAACAAGTTATATCTCGACCGAAGATGTGCAAATTTTCCAACACAAACTAACCAGCAGATCACGCAACATGAAACATCTCATTGAGAACCCTTAACTTTTCTAAGGAACCCCATACATAAAATCACATATATACATATATACACCGAGTGTATGTATATACATACACACGCACATATATGTACACAAACAAATGTAAAGATTCGATAAATAGGAGAAGTAAAAAGGGAGGAATATGGAAGAAACCTGGAGCTGGCGAAATCGTAGAGCTTGCCGGTGCTGGAGAAGATGATGAGGCCGACTTCGGCATCGCAGAGAATGGCGAGTTCTTTGGCCTTCTTGATGAGACCCTTCCTTCGTTTGGAGAAAGTGACTTGTCTGCTTGTCGAATCGTCGATCCTTTGGATCACAATCTTCCCTCTTCCCATCAATTTTACGGATCCTTTGGATCTTGCTCGATGCTCACCCTTCCCTTTCTAGGGTTTCTCGAGATTACCAAAAGGAGCACGATGAAGAAGAAGGCCAAGGAGAAGACTGTAGAGAGAGAGAGGGAGAATTGGAAAGTAAGAGTCAACAATTCTTTTTGAGGAATAAACTAAGCCTAACACATATGTATATATATATATATATGTATATATGTATTACACATACACACCCGGACACACATAGGTATGTGTGTATATATATAGACCTCACCTCACTTTACATATATAAGTCATTTTCTTGGTCGATATAAAAGGGCCTATATATATGCATATCTATATTAGTAAAATTTGTAACCAAGATTACAAACATATATATGTGTGTGTGTGTGTATATATTGTGGGAGATATATTAATGGAGCGATTGATTTAGCTGCCATTGATTCGGATAAACAAAGGGTTTAGGGAGTAGGAGTGAGATGCCATTAAAAGACCGAGCTTATGTTAGGCAAACTTCCATTTTTAACAATTTCATACGAATTAATTTATATATTCACAACCTTTTAGACGTCATGTAAATAGTGTAAATGGCTCATGGCACTGTGCTCTGACAATCCAAGCTTTGTGCCGCATGATTTTTCCTTTTTACAATTTAAACGTATATATGTTTGTTTCTATTCAATGGAGATAATTTATGGTTCATTTATACTAAAAAAAATGGATTGAAGAGTTGCAAAAGTACAATAGTCCACTTGTATTTTCTAAAATAAATATATGAACTTAGTTACAGAATTCGAAAACAATAATAATTTCCACGTGTCAGACAGGAGATAGGAGTTGTGGTGGTAATTGACCCTAATTTATGTTGGATTGTTTCCAAATATGGCAAAAATAATCACGTAATGAAAACTTTTGTTAGTTTCTACGCTTCAATACTTAAGCTGTACTTAAAGGACATACACAGCATAAATATATAAAAAGATACAGACAATTATATAAGTATATACATATATATATATATATATGTGCAAATGGACAGACACAGAGAGTGTTCCACTAATGTTCGAATTCCATCTTGACAAATCACGTATTATAAAAAAAACAATAAACATTGATATTATGAATGAATGACCCTACGGTTTAAGTTTGAGGCCCGGCTTTGGAAGGGTGGGGCCCATAGCGGCGGAAGTGGACCAACCCACGTGGCCATGACCGCTTCGGACCAATCAGATCTCGATCTCACAGACTCTACCATCAATCTTGTCATTCTTCTTTACATATACAAAAATTGATTTCTTAATTTTTCCTGCTTTTTATTCACCTGCAATTTTGTGCGTATTACTATTAAAACACCCGTATAAGCGCACATACACATACACACATATATATATATATATGCCTATATATTCCCTTTTTACTGATAAGGATTTGTTCTGCTTAAACCCCACATGATCTTCGGGTCAAAATCATGTTCTCTTTTTAATGTTTTATTTTATTTCATTTTTTACAGATTTTCTTTCTTATATATATAAGTTTGGGGGTTCTTTGAGGTAATTATTTGTGGTAAATGCAAAAGGTGAAGTTGAAAACTGTGTTGGATCTTTTATTGGAACTTGAAGACTGACGGGAACTGTATATGTTCCGAGGTTGTTGGCCATATGCTCTTTTTTATTTTTCATTTGCCTTGGTAAAATTAACGATTTTAAAATTTTGTAGCACTTGTAGTTCGTATTAATTTCTTATAAATCCAAATTTTATATGAGGAGATGAACCGTTTCTGATATATCAAACCAAATTAAGAATTCTTTGCTCTCTTTTTTTTTAATCAATCCAAGATTTGATGGTTCAATTGATAAATGATAGACCAATTTTTTTTTCTCAATCCAAATTCGATTCTCTATTTAGAGATGAATATTTATCCGGATTATAAGATATAGTTGGATCCGATGAATTTTCTGATTATAAAAAACAAAAGTGGAGACCCGATTTGATAGTTACCTAAAATCCTTCATCACACATTTACATAATCAAGTCGTATATTAATTGGTCCGTATAATCAAGATTTTGTAAAGATTTCAGCTTCCAATGTAAAATCACTTGTTGCTGTCTTTATTTATGTCGATGAATATGGACGAGTTCAAAGAACAAGATTCATCCGAAATTATTATATTTGATTTACAGGTAATGATGAGTCGGACTACATTTCTCTGTGTTACTTTGTTTCCAAAAATAATCTAAACAATAATATACTTAGGACAACATAAATATATGGACCGTCATGAAAATTTTAAGATTAAGGGCCCACAAGGCCCATTATCTTAGTTATATTGGATAATGGGCCTCGAGTGTGGCCCAGTGTGTTCAATTCTGCGCTAACTATATAAATTACGCTGTCAAAATTTCAAGAAGATCCATTCGTACATTTAAAGTTATTATTTTCGTAGATATCATATTATTATGATTTTCCACCTTAATTTAAATATTAATCATCCTACCTTACAAAATGGTGAATTGGAGAAATGATTAATCGAATAATTCATAAACTTTGACCCAAAAAAGGAAAACATGATACACAACGTTTGTAATAATCTATGTGGACAAATCGTATCTTCGTCTAAGACAAGACATAACATAACAATAGGGTGTGAAGAAGGTTCGGGTCTACAGTTGGATTTCAGAACCCTTAACGGTGATGTCCACGCCACGTGATTAATCTTGTCATAATTTTGATTAACGCTAATTAAGATTAATTAATAAGAAAAAAAAAGCAGAATCTAGATGTTTATGTAAAAGAGGAGTCAGTAAGCTGACGAATTTAGTTTCTGACATCGGTCGAAATTAACAAAAAACAAAACATGTTATGTTTTTTTTTTCTTTTCGTTCACCAGATTCATGATCATTTCATTCTCATCAAATCTCGCTGAACCCATCATCTCATTTTTTTTATTTAAAACATTTTTTAATAACTAATTTATATATTTCGGTATACACGCACAATATTAAAAGATTGCGTATATGAGAAAGATATATAAATTAGGTAATAATTTTCTTTATATTTCTAGAATCAACAAGGTTTTGCACAAAATAGGCCTCTGGTCATTCAAAGAGACACGAATATATATATATATATATTATTTATAATTTTTAAAAATAATAATTTCGACAACTTTAACCATACGGGGAAAAACCTACCTTGGTTGAACCACTGATAACGAACGAAATTGGACATATAAACCAAAAGTAAATCGGAATTTCAACCATTCTAACTAACCTCCTTTGAAATTTCTGTTCATTTAGCCAACGAAACCACATAGCTGTTGCCCATTTTCGCCGTCATTATTATATATAACGTATATACACACACACATACACACGTACTTTTATAATTTATATGTTCATGTGTATACAATACGCATTACATTAGATTATATTATTAATTATATGTATGGTATATATACATATATATATATATATACACACGACATTATGCTTCCTAATTTTGTTCAGAACCCATGCCTGCCGCCTCCTCGTAGTTTTCTCATAACGTAGTGGGTCGGTTGTTGAAATAGAAACAAAATATGGAGATTTGATATGATTGATAACAATTAAAGGCAAAATATAATTATCACGATATATATTTTATTCTTAATCGATATTATGCCTTTAATTGTTATCAATCATATCAAATCTCCATATTTTGTTTCTATTTCAACATCGGTTTGGTGCGTCACCATTCAATTTATTTTTAAATTATCCATCTATTATTTCTTTTCCTCTCGTAAATATATTCCCACTTGATGAAACAACGAACGTCAGGTTCCAGGCATCGAATCTAGGTGATTTATAACCTCTTAAAGTATATATACATATATACATTTAATACACCTTTATATATGTACTTTCACAATGTTGACTAGATAATATTTCTCTCCATGAATATTCAACGACATTGGTTTGTTTTTATTATTGATATTCGGCTGCGAAAACTCATTCTATATAATTACGTAAAAATTAAATTTAATTATGATCAGATTTATGAATTTTTTGTTGACGTGGAAATTCGGTATATACGTATCGTATACGTCCATTCCGGGAGTACGTAACAAGGCATTTCGTTTCGCATGCACAATATATATGTATATATTCCTGTGTATAACATTCTAAATCAGAAGTCAAAATTTAAAATAAATAATGCTTTAAAATAAAATAAGTATACGTATACCGAGCGGGTTGACCGATTCCTTCTATATTCAACGTACGCTTAGAGTTTAGAAGTAATCTAATTGAATTTAGTGTGTAAATAAGACCACAGCAACACATGCAAGAGGCTAATCAATAGACGTAAAGGGATTTGCTAATGAAAAATTAACAAACTTTTTTTTTTTGGCAAGTGTACTTGTAATCAAATTGGGAGAAAAATATATATATATATATGCGTGTGGAAATAATATACATGACATTATACCAAAATGGCCAAACCGTGTGATAAATTGACTTTCAAATTAAGAAGATCGCTAAGATTTCCTAATTCTTAATACCATTGTGCATATATATACTATTATATAGTACCATTTCCGATCAATGGTTTCAAGGTTTCGGGTTGAAGGTATATATGGCTCTCCACGACCGGACCATGAATCTGAATTATAAAATTTTTGTTGTTAAATTTTCTAAGTTTAAATTTAAAATGTGAATGTCGAGCGATTTAAAGCCATTTGAATGTTTTTTTTTCCAAAACGACTAAATTAATGCATTCACAAAGACGAATGCATTAGAAGAAAAAAATGGCGATTTCTAGCAAAGTTAGGCAACAAAAATGACTAGAATATTATTAATATGGAAAATCTTGTCCTTTTCAAATTGCGTCGATAATTAGAAGGTAACATATTTATGTTTTTACCAAATTCAATTTTCCAACAGTTAATAATAATATTTATTAAGATGCATTTGACCGACGATAGTTTGACCTCTTCGGACCCAAATTCAATTTCTTAAGTAAACGCCAAAAAAAAAAAAATCGGCAATGCACGTAATTATTTAATTGGTTGCCAATATATTTACAAATTCTGTGAGACAATGAATTCATAATTTTCTTTATCCCGACCGAAATGCCAATTCATAGAAATGTAGAAGAATTCGATACGGTTAATAAATGAATGGGTTTGTGGCAATCATTTGCATTTTATTTTTTTTGCAAAATACATTGAATATAATTCAAGGTGATTTTAATTTTTTTGCTGACATGTTAAATATGAAAAATTATTGCTAATCAGCTAGCTTACTTGCATTTACGAATAAATTGTACGAGTTATATTTCGTAATTTTGGACATTTTAATATTGTTTTTTTAGCTCTAAAAGGAAAAAGGGAAGACGCCACAACTGCAACATTAACGAAGTCTTCTCCTCGGGTCATTACATATATATATGTATGTATATATATATATATGTGTCTATATATACTCGTGAGCATTATATTTGTAGACAACAATTATACCCAAAAAAAAACATGTGAAAGAATCTAATGCCAAATTCATTTTTAGATTACAGAGAAAGATTAAGAGATTAATTACAAGAAGATTAGGAAAAAAAAAGGGGTGAGAATTCTAGAGGGAGATACCTTCTTCTTCTCCGAGGAATCAACCCTCCTCCATTGCCGAATTCTCTTTCCCAAGAAAACAAAAGGTACTTTTCATCTTCTTCAGGGTTTTCGCCTTTCTCCTCGGTAATTACTTTCTTTATTTTTTTACGACCAATGCGTGTGATTATACATTAATACATCTATATATATACATGTATATATACGTGTTTTTTTTTGCATTCGTATGTATCTGTGCCATCGTCATCAACCCGTTTGGTATTCGTCTCTGTATCAAAGGTTCGATTTTTATGGCGTGATTCTGTGTCGGGTCTGCAGTGGCGGGTTGGAGCGGAGAGATGGCGGCCGGAGCTCCGGGAATTCGGTCGGGTCGGGTCGGGTCATGGGTTCATACTCGGGTTTTTCCCGGCATTCTGCTTCTGCTTCTCCTCCTTCATGGTGTTCATTCCCAGACAAAACAGTACGCTCTCTCTCTCTCTCTCTCTCTTAACTCTGGTCTTTTCCTGCTGGGTTTTCGTGTCGGGTCGGGTCGGGTCGGGTCGTCTTTGGTTTTGGTTGATGTGATTGTTTGTTTCTGCTAAAAAAATAGGGAAAAGGGGTTCACATGTCGAAAGTTATCGCATAAGCACAAAACAGAGGCTCTGACTTTTGTCTGAAATTTTTATTGTGTGTTTCTCTTCCTGCTCTTAATTGTTTCCGTCACCATTTTTATTTTTATAAAAAAACGTCAATTTTCCTTTAAGATTTCATAATAATGATTTTTAGGGAATTAGTTTACACTATTTTGTTAAAGATGTAACCTTTAACTCTTCTTAGGTTTACATTTTTTTGGGCTTAGGGTTTGAAGGGCAATAAAAGAATGTTTGTTCAGCGGATTTGGAATTTTATTTCAATAATATTGGTTATTTATTTTATTATTATTTTAAAATGTAACCCTGAAAATGTTGGACTGCTTCCCCTTTCGGCCCTCAACCTACTTGCCTTCGCGATTATAATAACATTATATTTTGTATTCTTTGTGTCTTTTGATGCCATAGTGGATTTCCGCATGTACTTTTGGTTTGGTCCCCTTCCTATTCTTTCCTTCTTTATGACTCTAACGAAAATAAAATAAATATTTTTTACCAAAAAAAGAAAAGAAAATATATATTTTTACCGCAATGTATTTTTTTTGGGTTATAGAAATACATTTAACACCACAAAGCCGGGCCAAAAGGTGCCTTCTCCTGTGGTTGAGCTGAGGGGAGTGAGTAGTGACCAAGTACGTAACCACTTTTCATTTATTTATTTTTGTATATATTTTATTTTTTAATGTGTTTTTAAATTTTATGAAATCCTGATTAGAAATCAAATTGGGTTCGGACAATACGTGTGTTAAGGTTATCGTTGATAACGGGATTGTTCAAGTCACGTTTTCGAGTCCACAAGGCCTAATCACGGGAATAAAATACAATGGAGTATACAATGTGCTGGATGTCGAAAATGACGATCGCGGGTACGTCTCGTTATTATTGTTATTATTATGCGATTGCATTTTTATTCACGTGATTAACAATATAAATGACAATTTGTTGAATCGGAATCTAATCTTCTTTACTGTATCTCCGCGTATTATATATATATATATATTGCCATTATTAGTCGGAATATTATATATTATATTTTTGGGATGGTTATCAAAGCAGGTATTGGGACGTTGCTTGGTATGAACCGGAGAAAGAGCTAAAAATTGACAAGTGAGTTTTATATCTCCTCGTCGTTTCCTTGATATTGTGTCATATTGACATGATCATGCATCGGTCTAATTAAAGTACATGCTTGACCAACTTTGTAGTAACATAACATAACACACAAAAAATTTGAATAATATATAGATTTGGCTCATACAATTTGATATATTTATTTCAGATTAGAAGGTACCGAGTTCAATATCATAACTCAAGACGAAGAACAAGTCGAGATTTCTTTCACAAGAAGATGGAACGTGTCGTACCGTGGCTCGTTAGTCCCGTTGAATGTGGACAAAAGGTACGCTGCAAATGCTATTCCACACACAAAAAATAATAAATAATAATAATAATAATAATCATGAATTTATTTATCTCCATGTTAATTAATTTATATAATTCCATGTTTTGAAAAGATACATAATACGAAGCGGAGTGTCCGGTGTATACATGTACGGCGTGTTGGAGAGGTTAGAAGGGTGGCCCGACGTAGACATGGACCAAATCAGGATTGTGTTCAAGCTCAACCCAAAAAAGTATACCCATATAATAATCTTTGATTTCAATTTAAATTTAAGTTATTAGAGAATTGTTTCATTAGAAGTATATAAAACTTTGTAGGTTCAAATTCATGGCGATCTCGGATACTCGGCAACGAAGCATGCCCTCGTATGCGGACCGTGACATCGACAGTGGTCGAGCTAAGCCTCTCGCCTTCAAAGAAGCCGTTCTCTTGACAAACCCTCGACAGCCGATTTTCAAAGGAGAGGTACGTATATATATGTATACACACGTATATGTACTTATATATATAAATGAATGGGAAAAAATATGTCATAGTAGAAGAAATCTTAAAGGGAGAGATTGGGGAATGATCGAGTGCGACGCAGGTGGACGATAAATATATGTACTCAACTGAAGACAGAGACAACAAAGTGCATGGCTGGATATCATGGGACCCACCGATGGGGTTCTGGATGATCACTCCGAGCGATGAGTTCCGCTGCGGTGGGCCCATCAAGCAGGACCTCACCTCCCACGTGGGCCCCATCACCCTCTCCGTCAGTCCCCCCTCTTCCTCTTCTTCACTGCTCTCTTTTCTCAATTTCATGCATGCAACCATAGACTATGTTTACATGTCATACGCACATATATATATATATATATACATGTACGTTATCTATACATATATTTATTAAAGTATTGAAGGATAAAATTAAAATGGGAGGTTCAGATGTTCATAAGCACGCATTATGCGGGGAAGGAGATGGATACGGAATACAGAAATGGGGAGCCATGGAAGAAAGTATTTGGTCCTGTCTTTGCTTATCTCAACTCTGTCTCGCCCAAAGACACTAATGCTTCACTTCATCTATGGAGAGATGCCAAAAGACAGGTATCGCCATAATCACACACACACATATAATATATGTATATATAATCGTATGAAATCATAACAGATGAATTGATATATATATGTGATCTCAGATGCTTGTGGAGGTCCAAAGTTGGCCTTACAGTTTTGTGAATTCACAAGATTACCCTCTTTCTCACCAAAGAGGTTCCGTCAGGGGCCATCTCTTTGTCAAGGACAGGTAAATTTTTCCCATAATGTTTTTTTGGATAATCGGGTATCTTGGAACGAAGTCTAAACTAATTCCGGAACTGGGAACAAGTCATGTGATTGGAATTACGCTCTCATCCCCAATTTAAGACTCGAACTCGGACCGAAATAGACACTTTGCATCCCCTTTCATCGGTTGAGTTTGGTTTCTAATAATGTTACTTCGAATGTTAAAATTTTTAACCAACAACTTAAATGTTTTAAGTTTTTTTAATATTTTCGCATTATGCGAATTGAGTTGCAGTTACGTTTCTAGACGTAGTACGTATGGGCAATTCGCTTTCGTGGGTTTGGCGCCATGTGGTGAAGCTGGGTCTTGGCAGACTGAAACTAAGGTATGAACCAGTTTTATTACAACAGAAGATGTCCAAATGGTGCGTGACTGTGTGTGTAAGTGTATATATACATATATATATATATATATATATATGTGAATTAATTAAAAAAATGGTTTTGATAATGTTTTTTTTTTCCTTCTTTTCGAAGGGATATCAATTTTGGACGCAGGCTGATAGGAGAGGGAGATTCATGATAGAGAATGTCAGAGAAGGGAATTATAGTCTATTCGCATGGGTTCCTGGCTTCATTGGCGACTACAAATATCAGTATGACGTCACCATCACGCCAGGTATGGGCCACTGGTTTTTTCCATAGTAAATGGGCCCACTGTAGGCCCACAATTTAGGCAGGCCCATATCGTCCCCGACATTAGGTCCACGACGCTTGATTCCAAAATCAAAGTATTCGTTTCGTGTGATGCAGGTCAAGAGGTGAATTTGAGAGCCCTAGTGTACGAGCCACCGAGGAACGGTCCGACTCTATGGGAAATCGGTGTACCGGATCGGACCGCCGGTGAATTCTTTATACCGGATCCTTACCCTACCCTCATGAACAAGCTCTATGTTGACATGGTTCAAGACAAGTAATTAATCATTCCCCTTTTTTTTTTCAATTTTTTAAATTACTTTTTGTTAAACATATTTAAACGGGTATTGGGCAATTTTTGTTTTTATTTTTTGTAGATTTAGGCAATACGGGTTATGGGATCGGTATGCAGATTTATACCCTCGAGATGATCTTGTGTACACAATTGGAGCTAGTGATTACAGAAAGGATTGGTTCTTTGCCCATGTTACAAGGTAATTATTTTCCATGAAATCCAAAACGTTACGGTTTATGCAATATCTAAAAAAATGTGAAGAATACTATATACTATAACAAAAAATGCATTGTTACAGGAACGTGGGAAACAATACGTACCAAGCAACAACGTGGAAGATAGTATTCGAGCTAGGAACAGTGAACCAGGCCGGGAATTACACTTTGTGGATAGCTTTGGCCTCGGCCATGGACTCAGAACTTCAAGTTCGGGTCAACGAAGCAAACTCGGAGCCTGTTTTCACGACAGGGTTCACAGGGAAGGACAACGCCATCGCTAGACATGGCATACACGGGTTGTACAAATTGTACAGTGTCGAGATTTCAGGAAGCATACTAAGGGACGGTGAAAATACAATATATTTGACTCAGTCAAGGAGCAGAAGCATGTTTCAAGGGGTTATGTATGATTATATCCGTCTTGAAGGCCCTCCTTGAAATTGAAAACTAATATATAGAGGTCATAATATGTACATACCATATCTAGGCATTTTGAAAATCTGTTTTAATTTATTATGTTATCGATTAGTTTCATTCATTCACAAGATAATAACAAGGGTGATATACTAACCCTTTGTTTGATTAATGCAAGTCCTCTATCTTCTTATTTCTCTCTCTTTGTTTGAGTTTGAGTGATGGGGGAAACAATGAAATACTATAACAAGCCCTAACCGAATCAAATCGGAGATAACCAAACTAAACCAGTTCAAAATAAACCAAACCAAATATAACCGGTCGCATATTCTACTATGGGCAAATTAGGGAGGGACACTCATGGGATTTTCTTGCCTTTCCATTTTCTCTGTTCTATTCACTCGAAACTTTGTTTCGACATTTACGAAAGATCATTGAGTGATCATATGTTTCTGATGAGTTCCTCCCATGTGAACAAGGCTTGGAGGAGGCAATTTATTCTTCAAAGTTAGGCACCTCCTTCACCTACCAAGCCACCATTTTTTAAGCCATAATATTTGAAGCCTCATTGGTTGAAATTTGCAGCCATTTTTGTTGAAGAAATTGGTGTTAGAAGCTCTATAAATAGAGAGGTTTGGGCGTGCAAATGAATCACAGCAACAAGAAAGAGAAACACAAGAGAGAAAGAGAGAAAGGGAGAAGGAGAGTGAAAAACAGTTTTGAGCGGTTTTGATCAAGTGATCGATCGGATATCGATCGCTTATCCGATCGATCTGAAATTTTGTGGATAGCTTCTTCACTCTTTGTTCTTGATTCTGACCGGTTGGATTTTGATTTCAACGGTTAGAATTGAAGTAACGGAGGTTTTACCGGAGCTGTTTTTCCAGAGGTATCAAACCGTGGCAGGTCTGATTGCTGTGAAAATTAGACAGTGGATTCTTCTCCGATCGAGGTAAAATTTGGTATGCTCGTTCTAGACCCTCTTTTCTTTGTTTTTACGGTGTGATTTTGCATTGGTTTCCGAAATCAGAATCTACGGGGTTGACTTGCTACCTAAGTTACACCTTGTTAAGTTGTGCTCTCTTGGAATATTGAGGTTAGAATATTGACGTGTATATTCTGTAACCTCGGGCTGTGTTTCTTGTATACGGAGGTTGTTGTGTGGGCATTGTAATCCGGTTATAGTGGATTTTTGGGTGGACTACGGTCCTGTGGTTTTTACTCCTCACACCGAGGGGGTTTTCCACGTTAAAAATTGTTGTCTCGTACCGTTGCACTAGATATTGTCATCCTCGTAGGTTTACGTGTGAAAAGGCAAGATGGAGGATATGCTCTACGTGAAGGAATGTCATCTACCGTTGATCGCCGAGGAAAAACCGGAAGGCATAACTGATGAGTAATGGACATTAATGTTGCATCGACAAGTTTGTGCCTTGATACGACAGTGGGTGGATGATAACGTTTTGAACCTTATGGCTGGTGAGACCAATGCTCAGTCTTTGTGGAGCAAGTTGGAGCAATTGTACGCTCGAAACACTAGGAATCGCAAGTTGTACTTCATCAAGAAGTTGGTTGATCTGAAGTACGTCGATGGAAGTCCGGTGACAGATCACTTGAATGTGTTTAAAGGTCTGTTAACCAATTGCCCGATATGGGGATCACCTTCGAAGATGAGGTTCAGAGTTTGTGGCTTCTCAGCACACTTCCGGATTCATGGGAGACATTCAGGATGTCGTTGTCAAATTCAGCTCCAGACGGTATCATCTTGATGGAATACGCGAAGAACAGTATTCTGAATGAAGAGACGCGGAGACAATCTCAAGGAGCTTCCTCGAGTTCTGATATCCTGGTATCTGAATCGAGGGGGAGGAGTCTGAATCGAAATCCGAAGGAAAAGAATCGGAGCAAGAGCAAATCTAACAAATTTGCGAATGTTGAATGTCACTATTGCCACAAGAAAGGGCATATCAAGAAGGACTGCTGGAAACTGAAGAAGGACAATAAGAAAGAGAATAAACATGAGGACAACGAGGAACGGGTTGCAATTGCAAGGCAAGAGTTCCTGGTCATGGTCGATGGTGAAATGATCAATCTCGCATGCCATGAGACCAGTTGGGTGATTGACAGTGGAGCTTCCATTCATGCCACGTCACGACGTGAATTCTTTGCTACCTACACTCCGGGTAACTTTGGTTCTGTCAATATGGGCGATGGTTCAACTCAAGTCGTTGGCATTGGAGATGTCTGCTTGGAGACTAGTCTTGGTACTAGACTTGTGCTTAAGGATGTTAAGCACGTTCCAGATGTTCGTCTGAACTTGATCTCAGCGGGAAGAGTTGATGATGAAGGTTTCTGTAGTACATTCAGTGGAGGTCAGTGGAAACTTACGAGAGGTTCCATGGTTGTGGCTCGAGGTACGAAGTCTTCGTCACTTTACTTGATGCATGCTAAGCTTTCTAAGGATATCATTAATGCCTTAGAAAGTGAAGATGCTATTGAGTTGTGGCACAAAAGACCCGGACATATGAGCGAGAAAGGAATGTCTGTGTTGGCAAAGAAGGAGGTTCTACAAGGAGTCTTAGGAATGCATTTGAAGAAATGTAATCACTGTTTTGCGGGAAAACAAAACAGAGTTGCGTTCAAGTCTTCTATACCTTCGAAAAAAATCGGAGATACTCGATTTGGTACACTCAGATGTGTGTGGTCCATTGAAGACGAGATCAATGGGTGGTGCCTCATATTTTGTCACATTCATCGATGATCATTCGAGAAAACTGTGGGCATATACGATGAGGACTAAGGATCAAGTTCTGGGTATCTTCAAGCAGTTTCATGTCTTGGTGGAAAGACAGACTGGGAAGAAGTTGAAGTGTATCCGAAGTGGTAATGGAGGTGAATACTCCGGATCGTTTGATGCTTATTGTCGTGAACAAGACATTAGGCATGAGAAGACGCTGCCGAAGACACCACAGTTGAATGGGTTGGCGGAAAGGATGAACAGGACGATCATGGAGAGAGTTCGTTGTCTGATTTCTCAGTCAAGCTTACCGAATTCCTTTTGGGGAGAAGCTTTGAACACCGTGGTTCATGTTTTGAACCTATCACCTAGTGCTCCGTTACATGGTGATGTTCCGAAGAGGGTTTGGACTGGCAAGGATGTTTCCTACAGTCATTTGAAGGTCTTTAGGTGTAAAGCATTTGTTCACATTCCCAAGGATGAGAGGTCGAAGCTGGATATGAAGTCGAGACAGTGCGCGTTCATCGGATACGGTCTTGATGAAATGGGATACAGATTCTATGACCCAGTGGAGAAGAAGCTCGTCAGAAGTAGAGACGTTGTGTTCATGGAGAATCAAACCATACGGGATATTCAGAAGTACAAAAATCCAACTCAAAGTAGTGAAGGTTTGATCGACTCAGGAACGATTCCCCGAACAATAGCTGAGGAATCTGTTGAAGGTGAGGTGCAAGGAGAAAGACCCGGTACAGATGCTCCCGTACAGGTTGATGAGGGTGTTGGTGAAGGCCATCGGGATGAGTCACCAACTACCGAAAACTCACCGGTGTTGAGAAGGTCTGAGAGAGCTCGGAGACCATCGACGAAGTATAGCCCTAGTGAGTATGTATTACTTACTGAAGGGGGGGAACTAGAAAGTTATGGTGAAGCTCTTGGAGATGAGCACAGAGATGAGTGGCTAAAGGCCATGAATGATGAGATAGATTCTTTGTATAAGAATCAAACATTTGAGTTGGTGAAGTTTCCAAAAGGCAAACGGGCGTTGCTTAACAAATGGGTGTTCAGGGTTAAGCATGAAGAACACAATATACATCCTCGATACAAGGCTAGGCTGGTTGTAAAAGGTTTCAGTCAGAAGAAAGGAGCTGATTTTGATGAGATTTTTTCGCCGATTGTGAAGATGTCATCTATACGAGTTGTTATGGGATTGACAACTAGTCTTGATTTGGAGGTTGAGCAAATGGATGAGAAGACGACTTTCCTTCATGGTGATTTGTAGGAAGAGATATACATGGTGCAACCTGAAGACTTTATTGAGAATGGCAAAGAAGATTACGTTTGCCGGTTGAAGAAAAGTCTTTACGGGTTGAAGCAAGCACCGAGGCAATGGTACAAGAAGTTTGAGTCAGTTATGGGGGAGCATGGCTACAAGAAGACGACTTCAGATCATTGCGTGTTTGTGCAGAAGTTTTCGGATGATGATTTTATCATCTTGCTACTCTATGTGGACGACATGTTGATTGTGGGCAAGAATATGGAGAGAATAATAGAGTTGAAGAAACAACTCGGTCGGTTCTTTGCTATGAAGGATTTGGTACCAGCGAAACAAATTCTTGGGATAAGAATTGATCGGGACAGAAGTAACAAGTTGTTGTATCTGTCGCAGGAGAAGTACATTGAGAAAGTACTTCAACGGTTCCATATAGAGAAATCTAAAGCTGTGAATTCACCTCTTGTTTCACACTTTAGATTGAGCAGTCAACAGAGTCCGAGTACAGACTCAGAGAAGGAGGAGATGAGACGAGTTCCATACGCCTCTGCAGTGAGAAGTTTGATGTATGCTATGGTTTGTACAAGACCAGATATAGCTCACGCCGTTGGGACTGTCAGTCGGTTTCTTTCCAATTCAGGAAGAGAACATTGGCAGGCAGTAAAGTGGATACTGAGATATCTTCGAGGGACTACCGGTTTTCGAATCGTGTTTGGAGGTGATAAACCTTTGTTGGTTGGTTACACGGATTCTGACATGGCCGGAGATCCAGATTCTCGAAAATCTACATCGGGTTACTTGGTAACATTTGCGGGTGGAGCAGTGTCATGGCAATCGAAGTTGCAGAAATGCGTTGCACTTTCTACCACTGAAGCTGAGTTCATCGCCGCAACGGAAGCCTGTAAGGAGTTGTTGTGGATGAAGAGATTTCTTGAGCAGCTTGGATTCAAACAAGATAGATGTCTTGTTGTGCGACAGTCAGAGCGCCATTCATCTTGGGAAGAATCAGACGTTTCATTCAATATCAAAGCATATTGATGTGAGGTATCACTGGATCCGAGATGTCGTTGATTCGAAGGAAGTTGAACTCGAGAAGGTTCACACTGATGACAATGGTGCTGATATGATGATGAAGGTACTTCCTAGAGGGAAGTTAGATGTTTGTCGTGGGATTGCTGGGATGGTG